CCGTACCTGAGCTCACCTGTCCTGTGCCCCGTACCTGAGATCACCTGCCCGAAGAGCTCCTCGGGGGTGTCCCCGAAGAAGGGCACGCAGCCCACCAGGAACTCGTAGAGGACGATGCCCATCGCCCACCAGTCCACGGGCTTCCCGTAGCCCTGGCGCAGGATCACCTCGGGCGCGATGTACTCGGGCGTGCCGCACACCTGCGGGCGTGGCAGGGGGCACCTCAGCGCGCCCGGGCACACCTGGGGGCACCTGGGAGCACCTGGGAGCACCTGGAGGCACCTGGAGGCACCTGGGCACGTGTGGGGGCACCCAGGGGCATCTGGGTACACCTGGGAGTGCATGGGTACACCTGGGTACACCTGGGGGCACCTGGACGCATCTTGGGGCACCTGGGCACATCTGGGAGCACCTGGGGGCACCTCAAAGCATCTGGGGGCACCTGGGCACACCTGGGGGCACCTGGGCACACCTAGGGGTGCCTGAGGGCACCTGGGTACATGTGGGGGCACCCGGGGGCATCTGGGTACACCTGGGGGCACATGGACGCATCTCGGGGCACCTGGGAGCGCATGGGGGCACCTGGGAGCACCTGGGGGCACCTCAGAGCAGCTGGGGGCACCTGGACGCACCTGGGGGCACCTGGGCACACCTGGGGGCACCTGGGAGCACCTGGGAGCATCTGGAGGCACCTGGGCACATGTGGGGGCACCCGGGGGCATCTGGGTACACCTGGGGGCACCTGGGAGTGCATGGGTACACCTGGGTACACCTGGGGGCACCTGGACGCATCTTGGGGCACCTGGGCACACCTGGGAGCGCATGGGGGCACCTCAGAGCATCTGGGGGCACCTGGGAGCACCTGGGGGCACCTGGGAGCACATGGGTGCACCTGGGCACACCTGGGGGCACCTGGGCACACCTGGGAGCACCTGGGTACACCTGGGCACACCTGTGCCCACCTGTTATCACCTGAGCCCACACTGATGCACCTGAGTACACCTGAGCCCACCTGCGTCACCCCCCTGAGCCCACCTGTGCCCACCTCTACCACCCACCTGTGTCACCCACCTGTGCCACCCCACCTGTGCCCAGGTGTGCCCAGGTGTGCCCAGGTGTGCCCAGGTGTGCCCACCTGCTTGTCGCGGAACTCGCGGGCGTCCTTCTCCATGTGCCCCTCGTACAGGTTGGTCGTGAGGCTCATCAGCCCCAGCTTCGAGAGCCCGAAGTCCGTGAGCTTCACGTGGCCCAGGGACGTGATCAGGAGGCTGCGGGTGACAGGTAAGGACAGGTGAGGGGGCAGGTGAGACACGTGACACAGGTGACACAGGTGAGGGGACAGGGGAGACGGGGCGGGGCCACAGCTGAGCTGGGCAGGGCCTCAGGTGAGTTGGGCGGGGCCCCAGG